TGCTGGAGATGAGTGTGCAAGTAGGACTCGGAGACTGAGCCGGGGAGGGCAATCCAGCACAGGTGAGAGCTGGGAAGGAGGAAGTGCTGCAGGGGGCCGGGTCCTGAGGTTGGGGGAAGAACAGAGAGGACCGCGTCAGAGGATGAGGGACTGATTGCCATCTTGGCCCCACCCTGGGCACGCCACTCACTGCCATCATTCTCCACTGTCCACGGTGAGATGTGCAGACCTCGCTGGGTGGCTGAGAACTTTGGTGTCAGTTGAGAGGAAGCTGCAGAGTATCATACAGATGTGAGTGTATTGTGGTCGTGCTTTTTCCCTGGGGACAATGACAAGACAGATCTGACCACAGTCAGGCTATTTGCTAACCCTTGGCAGACCCTGGTCAACCCCAGACCAGCTCACGGCTCACATGCAGGGTGGTGGCAGATGGACAGGGCACGGCTTCTGAAGCAAGGGAAGGGAGGGAGGCAAGAACACAAAGTGACAAAAACCTTCATTTGTTCTCCACAATAATGCCAGTCGCACGCTATGTATTTTAACATGTTTACTTGCCAGGTACGTTGGGAGAGAGCATGCCTATTTTTACAGGTGAGGAAAGAGAAGTTCAAAGAAATTCATCCATCTATCCATTTCTTCATTCATTCATTCCATTGACTGGGTTAGAAAATATAGACAACACCATGCTAGTTGCTGAGTGATTGAAAAGTTCCTGCCCCACAGTGGAGTTTAGTGTCTGGAAGGGGAGATAGACAAGATCTGATAAACCTATGGTGCAATGGCAGGTGATAATGAATGCTATGCAGAAAACAAACTGAGTAAAGAGCATCACGAGGTGGTAGGACAGGTAGCTCTGACTTTTAGGCAAAGAACTGAATTCTGCCATTGTGTGACTCCTCCCAGCAGAGACAATAGCCTGTGCAAAGGCCCTGGGGTGGGAGCGCACTTTATGATCAAGGGGTGCCAAGAAGGCAGGTGTGATTCGAATGTGGATGAGGTGGGAGAGAAGTAAAGGATGCGGGGGTGCAGGTTATGTGGGGGTTTACAGGTCAAAGAAAGGGCTATGGTTTTAATTCTATGTGTGTTGGGAAGTCACTAGAGGGGTTTGAATCCTCTCAGTTGTAGGTTTTCAAAGGATCACTTTGGAGATAGAATGTGGGGAGCAGGAGTGGGAGCCGAGGGGTTAAGTAGAAAGCTACTGTACAAGTCCAGGTGAGAAGAGACAGTTTGGAGAGCAGTGGCAGCGTGGAGGTGGTAAACAGCAGTCAGCTCTGAAATATATTTCAAAAATAGCAGCAGCAGGGTTTCCTGTTGGTTGAACGTGGGCTATGAGATAAAGAGAGGAGTAAAGATGACTCCAGGACTTTGGGCCCAAGCAACTGGGTAAACACTGATGCTGCTTACTGAGATGGGGGTGGTGGTGGCAGGTTTGGGGACAGTGTGGGTTCACTTTAATTTTGAGATGGCTTTAGACATCTAAGTGGAGATGTCAACTAGGTAGCGGGATGTATGAGATGGGAGTTCAGGGGAGATGTCAGGGCTGGAGATATAAATTGGGAAGCTGTCAGCAGAGAAATGTTGTTGAAAGCCATGGGATGAGATGATCTCACCAGAGGGAGGGTGTAGACAGAGAAGAGAAGAGGTCCCCAGGAGCTTTGGCATTTGCAGGTCTGAAGAGCAGTTGGACTCAGAGGACTTGTCCTGCTTTCCCTGGAAGGCCTCCCGCTGCCCGGGGAGAGGAGCCCCCCCATGTTGGGCAGTGGGTCTCAATCAACCAGGCTTGTTAAGCCAGATGGCAGGGCCCACCCTGTGGCCTGGGTGGCACCCAAGAAAGGCATTTCTAACAAGTTGCCAGTTGCCGCTGGTCTGGAGGCCACACTCTGAAGGAGGAGTTGCAATGGGAGCCTAGATTTTGGAGCTGGCCAGAACTTTTCAGATCCAGGCTCTACTTCCTGCATGATCTTGGGCAAGACAGCATCTGTTCCTGAGCCTCAGTGTCCTTATCTGTAAAGTGGGAATGAAGTCACTGATCACCCAGGTTATTATGAGGGACAAACTAGTTAGCCTGTCTGCATGAAGAGCCTGGACGGGCTCGGGGCGAGGAGACGACTCTGGAGGAGCGTGGAGGCAGGCAGCTCTGGCTGGTCGGCGGGGACAGCAGGCAGCTCCAGCGATGCCTGCCCCAGGAAGCCCTGAGACCGGGCCTGCAAGAGGGGCAGAGCATGCAAGGGAGCCTTGACCCGGCCCCTGCTGTCCTCTGAGCACTTCTGCGGGCCCACTCTTTCTCCAAGTCCATCTTACCACCAGAGCGTTCTCTGGGTCCTGGTTCTTGGAGAGCTCCTCTTGTCCCTTCATCTCCAGTGACCAGTGGCTGCTTTCCCTCATGGCCTCCCCTTGCACCCTCCCCTCCCTGGACCTTGTCACTCAGCTTGCCCTAGAAGGGAGTATGGCCTGACAGAAAGAACCTGGCCTGGCATCAGACAGAGGGGACAGCAGCCAGGGACAGGGGTAACCCAGTGTGATGGGGGTAATGATGCTGCCCACCTAAGCTATACAGGCATGCGACAAAGCCCTGGCTCTCCTCCTGTGCTCCTGCTCTCCTGCCTCTGGCCAGGAGCCTCCCTCTCCTGCGGCTGCCCAGCCTGGGTGCACTGAGAGAGGGCCGCCTCCCCCACCTCCCCCCGTTGCTATTTAATGCTGTTAACAATGGATTCATTAACTGGGATTAATCTCATATACCAGCTCTCTATCCCCCTGGCTATTAATCACTCACTTCATTAACAGGACAGCATTAGTCAACCTGGGAGCCAGGACATGGTGCCCATACCAAGTACCTGTGTCTGCCGGCCTTCCCTCCTGGCCGGTCCATCTTCTGCGTGCCTTTCTGCCTCTGCGTCTCTCTATGGCCCTCAGGCAGATGTGTGTATCTTTCCCCGTGTTTCCCACGGTGGCCTGGTCTCTGCCCCCAGTGCCTCCTGGCGTCCTTTTCTCTCCGTGTCCTCCCCACTCCTGGGCCTCACACATAGTAGGCAGGCGTCTGCACTGCTTGAACAAAGCACTGAGAGAGATGAGCAAGGAGATGCCAATTCAAGGAGGCTCATTTTTAAAAATTGCCTTTTCTGTTTACAAAGATAATATATGCTCACTGTACAAAATTTGAACAACACAAGAAAGGAAGAAAGCAGAAAATAAAAATTCCCTGAAATCCCCGCCATCTCCAGATAATAACCTTTAGCGTGTTGGTGAGCATCCTCTCAGATCTTGAGTGATATATATATAATTTTACCTAAATGGGATCATACTATGCATGCTGTTTTGCAACCTGCTTTTCCACTCAACAATATGTTGTCGAAATCTTTCCATATCAGTGAATATAAATATACATCATACTTTTTTAATGGTTGCATAGCATTCTGTCTTATGGAAGTAACACGATTTAGTCAATGGATCTCCTATTGATGAACATTTATATTGTCTCCCATTTTTTTCACTGCCAAATTTGACACAGAAAGCAACGTTCTAATGTATATATCTCTGTGCACTTGCCTAATTAACTCCTTAAGATTAATTCCCCGGCAGTGAAATTTCTAGGACAAAGGGTTTGCACAATTAACATTTGGGAACAGAATGGCATAGTGGAGCCAGGTGCCCAGGATTCAACACTACTTTTGCCATTTCTTAGCAAAGGTGCCTCCAATGAACTACATAAGCTCTCTGGGCTTCAGTTTTCCCATCTGTGAAATGGGAATAATAGTAGGATTTGCTTCATGAGGTTACTATCTAGATTAAATAAACCATTACCTGCAAAGCACTTAGGCTGAGGCCTGGGTGTGCAGTAAGGGCTGTTTATTAGCTACTGCCATGGCCACAGTGGCCCACTGGCCTCCAGGAACACTGAACCTGTTCACATCTCTCCCACTAGCAGCGTGGGAGAGAGAGAGACCCTTTCTTTACACCATTATCAACAGCAAATACCCTTGTCCATTTAAACAAACTTTAGCCCTCCTGAGAGGTGACAATTCACACCTCTTCCCAATTCGCATTTCTTTGGTGAGTACTGGGCCAGCACTTATACTTCCTTCTTAATGGACATTCACATTGCATCCCTGAGTTGTCTGATCAAGTTCTTGGCCTGCTTCTTGTCTGTGGGAGCGATTTGTAGTATATTAGCTATTTTGTATATTAGTAACCCCAATTTTTTTTTCTACTTCATCTTACTTTCAACAATATTTATTTTTGTCTTTCATCGGTAGTTGATTTTTATGTGGTTAAGTCTACTGGGCTTGTTCCTTTACAGCTTTTATATTTCCCATTATGCTTAGAAAGGCCTTTATTTCCCTTTAAACAATACAAACATTTATACTTTTAGTACTTGTCCACACTTTTTTACATTTTATGTTCTTATCCCTTTGATTTATTCTGTGTAAAGAATGAAGCATGACACTAGTTTTATTGTTTTCAAAAGGACTGATCAGTTATCCCAACAGCATCTGAGTATTCCAATGAGGACCAGAGAGGGGGACAAGGGTAAAACAAAAAAATTACTGTTCCAAAACAGAAAGGAGGGCATTAGGTCAAACGAGTGGTTCGGGATGGGATTCCCCAGGGTCTGCTTGTGGCTAGTTGTGAGTAATCAATCCCTGGGGATTCCCTCCTCACTGTGGTCCTCAAAGGGCAGAGGCGGAATATTAGGGGGACTGAGTCAGACCTGGTATTTTATTGAAGCCCCTTCCAGCAAGCTCTGCAGGCTCTTGACACCCTTGTTCCTGGCTGTCAGCAATTAAGAAGAAGGTCTGTCCTTCTTGTTTAGGAGTCCAGAGCAAGTGGCCTTGTGAGTTTGGATCTCTGTCCTAAGCTCACTCATCATCACTCCAGGCTCCCCACTCACTGGGACTCCGCATCCTGCCACAGCAGCGTAGGAGCAACCCATCCTGTCTTCCTCAAGACGCTGTTGCACCTTCACAATGAGCCCAGGAGGGCTTGGGAAACTTCCTTCCTCAGGAAGGAGCCCGGGAGCCACCGCGGCCTGTGTGCCTGGTGGCGATGGGAAAGGGAACAAAGCCTCTGTGGTGGTGCAGGAGGAAGCCTGAGTTCTCACCGGTAAGGTCTATCCCCAGGCTCAGGCCGCAGGGTCCTCTTGGCTGCTGTGTTTAAGGCAGCTTAGGTTAACTGTGGTCCAGACACAGGGAGGGTTCCGCCTGGTGTTCCCTGGCCAAGTGTCAGTACAGGGGTCCTGGAAGATTGTGGGGGTGGTGGGGCATCTCAGGTTCTCTCTACAGTCTTGCATGTGGACGGTCCTTATGCAAGGACTCCAGGGCCACTGCCATCCTCAGCTCCCGGACACAGCTTGGTTCTGGGACCAGAAGGACAGGCCTGGAGTCTGAGGCAGGCAAAATGCCAGGCTGGGCATTCAGACCACGGGCACTGAGGGTGAATTATGGCACGAGGGCCCACGGAGCAGCCACAAATCATGGGGCTGTCAAGGACAGGGGAAAGGCAACACCCACCGCCTCCCCGGGCAGGATTGATGGACTGGGGTCCTGGGTCTGGGTTCAGGATGATTGGACTTTACGCTGTTTTATTTCCCCAGAGCGCTGCTGGTGCAAAGCGTGGCACCCAGGACCGCGTGTGTGAGTGTGCTCGTGTATCTATCTTCCCGCACGACTCCACTGGAGGGTGGGCTCCGGCTTGCCTCTCCGTGTGGCTCTGATTTCATTTCTATGTGACCAGCCAGGCCTCTGAATTGATCATGGGCTGCGAGTTGTGTGTTTTGTGGCTGGTGTGGCTGTACATGGGTGACGATCTGTGGAGCTGTGGAGTCTATGGGTTTTGTGTGTGGCTGGACAGCAGTTTGCATGTGTCTGTTGGGGACAATTTGGGGGCCTTGAGGCCATATGTCTGGGTGGCTGATGTGGTTATAATCCAGAATGGGGACTGAGGAGGAAGAGAAGGTTGGAATGAAGGTTTGGGGCATGATGAATCTGAGGTCTGGGAAGAACATCAAGGGGACATATCTAGAAAAGAGGGACAGGGATTCAGCAGGGAGCCTGGGGCAGGAGGGCCTGGACTCAGCTGCCTTCTACGTTTGTCCAGATGACAATGCACTGGGGAAAGTGGTGTTTGGCAGGAATGAGGCAAACACACACACACACACACACACACACACCCCTCTGAAGCCGGAAAGGACACATGCTGTGCTAATCCTAGCTGGACAGAATTCAGTAGGAAATTTCCAAGGGTTGCTGAAATGGCATAAAGTGCACCAATTGGTGAAAGGCAGCAAAAATTCCCTGGCAGAGGTAAAGATTCAGGGAAATCACAAGAAAGGAGACTGTCGAAGGGAGAGAAGAATGCTCTGGTTGTAGCAGTGAGGACTGGGGATAGGGACAGAGTCGGAAGGACTCAGGGCAGGGACAGCAAGCTATTTTGATGGCATAATCTTAGAAGCCAAGGCCAGGCAATTCTTCAAGGCATTTCTAGTACCTTGCCCAGGAGTAGGTGTTGAATTGAGCTGATTTGGAGTCAAAATCTAAAGCACTATAACAGGGAAAGTCCAAGGACTTTACTGAAAGAACTTTGAAAACTACAGGAGACCTTGGGCGGGGCTGATGGGAGGGGAAGCGGAGTTGGTGTCCCCAGCATGTCCCCTCTGCACTGCTCCTCTTCTGCACGCTGGCTTCCTCCCTGGTCGGCCTCCAGGTCTGGGCTCTCAACCAGTCTCTGCTTTCCCTTCTTCATTGCTCTTGATCCCCCCCAGCGCTGACCTGGACTCTGTTTTCTGGTCACAGCCCTCCCCCCCCCCCCCCCGCTAGTCTCAACAGGGGGGACAGCATCTGTCTGATCTTTTGCTGAATAAGCCAGGTGGCCAGAAAAAGGGTGGTCCAGCTGGAGAGCACCCAGGACTTGGGCAGAGCCTGTTTATCCCCAGTTCCAAGGACCTGAATGCAATGCAAGTCACATTGAGGGATCTGAGGTCCCAGATGTGGTAGAAGACCTAACACTAGAGTGCTAAGGGATGAGGGACAGGGGACTTTGGTGCCACAGCAGAGCACTAACAAGGTTCTGGCAGGTCAGAGGAGTGCTGTCTCAGAAATCTCAGATTGTGGTCTACACAGGTGTACAAGGATGGGGACAGCCTCAGGGGCACAGGTGGTGAGCAGGGAGCACCTGAGGGACATACGTCATGTTTTAGATACTAGTAGCAGAAGAGCTCCTATTCAGTGGCCTTAGTGATAAGAAAAGGCATTATCTCACATGACAGGAACTCCCTCAAGAGGAAGGAAGAGCTTCTATACAGTGGCTCAATGCTGTCATCAAAGAGCAATGTTCTTGCTGTCTTTTGCTGCTAAACTGAGTGAGTTAACTTTGTCATTAGGCTGGCTTCCTTTCTAGTCACAAAAGGGCTGCCCAGATCCAGATATCCCACTCAGATACCACAATGTCCAGTAGAAGAAAAGATATTCTCCTTCTAGCTGTCTCTGAGTGAGGTGTCTTTCTCAGAAGTCCCCCTCCCATCAGGCTCCTCCCCACATGCCTGTACCTAAATCAATCACTGGCAAGGGGAATGGGATGACAATACTGCTTCATGCATTTAGGATCCGTCCATGGAGCTGGGGTTTTGGGTGGGCCTGTGGCCAGCTGCCCTGAAGCACAGGTCCCGGATAGGAGCGGATCCTGGGTCGACAGTGCATTATCTCCACTCCGTCAGACCTCCCCCAGTGCCAGAGGGGAGCAGAGGTAGCGTGGAGCTGCTGTAGGACAGAATGCTGGCAAGCATTGTGCTCTGGGAGACCAAATCTAGGATCTAGTCATCCAAGGTGAAGCCTGGTACCCACACGGAGTCAGCAGACAGGTCAAATTACCAATAAAAAGTTCTCATTGCTGTTCCTGTCCCAACACCTCCCATGCCCACTTCAGGACCAAAATCCCTCATTAGACCTGAAAAGCCCCACATGATCTAGTCTCTGCTTCTCAAGCTTCATCTGGAGCTCCTCCGTCTGCTGCACGTGCAGTTGTCCTTTCTGCCTCAGGGCCCTTGCTCATGCTGCCTTCCCCCTCCCTCAGTGTTCCCCCATCATTCCCTACCTCCTTTCATTCATTCTGCATTATATTCCCATAGCTCTCCACAAATCTCTTTAGTCGTCTTTAGGGAACTTATAATTACTTGTTGTCTATATACCCTGCTGGACTCCAGGCTGTTAGTCAGCTTTATATCACTGTGGCCAAAATACCGAACAAAAACAACTCAGGGAGGAAAAGTTTAACTGGGTTCATGGTTCATAGGCCTCAGTCCATGGTCAGCTAGCTCTGTCCCTTTGGTTCTGAGGTGAGGCAGAGCATCCCGGTGAAGGGTGTGGCAGAGAGAGCTGTACTCATGAAAGCTGCCAGGAGCAGAGAGAACAAAAGGACCCACAGGGCCTGCAGGAGAAGGCCATGCCTCCAGGGGTGCCCCAGTGGCCTGCTTCCTGCCGCTAGGCCCCACCTCCCAGCAGTCCCTCCGGCCAGAACCCTGATCATCCATCCCTTCCCCAAGCCCCACCTCTGGTCATTGCTGCACTGGGGACACGTGAGACTGGGGGACACTCCAGACCCACAGCAGGCTCCTTGAGGTCAAGAAGAATGTCTATCATCTGGACACTGTGCTGACACCCGAAACAGTGCTTGGCACACAATCGGCATTTAATGAATATCCACTGAATGTGTGAATGAATGAATCCCCACAACGAGGGTCAGCTGGGTCCTAAGCTTTGGGCAGGGACTGTGGCTGGGGGACTGATGAAGAGTGTGGCCTGTCAGAGGCCCCTGGGGATTTCTGAGCACAGAAACAGCATGACTATTACGGGCTCAAGGGCAGCAAGGGTAGCTGTGTGCCCAGGAGGGGTAAGGAGGCCAGCCAGGACCCTGTGCTCTCCTGCAGGCATTAGGTTCCAGCCATGGGAGCCGTGTCCAGGAGATCAGTAATGACACCCTGAAGACAGGTGGGCTGGTGTGGTTCAGCACTGGGGCCAGAGATCTGGAGCAAAATAAGGGTGCTAAGAGCATCCGCCTTACGGGGTCACAGGAAGAGTCAAGGGGACGAGGCGTGTAAGAAGCAGTCTTTTGTCTGTAGATCCGCAGTACAAAGCCTGGGCTTTGCCTTTGCTCCAGTCCCCATCCCAGGCCAGGTCCGAATCTGTCCTATTCCTCTCTTTCCTCCCAGCCTGAGGCACACCAGGACTATGCTCTCCACAAAACCAAACTTCCCTCAGCCTGTTTCTTTTTCCAGTTAAGTGGGTGCAGCAATGTCCCCCTCACCTGGCTGATACGAGGTGACATTAGAGAACACATTTTGGGGTGCTTTAGAAACTGTAAAGCACTGTGAACATGAAGGAATTACTGTTCCTATTTTGCTAGAGTTGGGCTCATTCCTGGGCCTGGCATCTGCTTTGACTTTCCCAGTTCCTGTTTCTTGCCAGTCTCCGTTTTCTTGTAGCCACCCACGATTCTGGCACCGACAGCGTAAGGATGGGGAGTTTGAATGTAGAAGGAAAAAAGGAGGAACGTGACAACAACCAGCAGCCCCCTGCCTCGTTTCCAGTCTCAAGGATGATCCTCCACCTCTCCAAGGCAGCATCCCCCAAGCCTGGGCATCCTCCATGTTCCAGTGACCTATCGCCGCATAACAAACCCCTCCCAAACCTAGTGACTTGGAACAACACTGTATTATTAACTCCTAGGAGGTCAACTCCGACGGGCAGTTTCCCACCTCATGGACTCTGGTTGGGTTGCAGTCAGAAGTGGCTGGGACCATCTGAAGGCTGGACTGGACAGACATTCCCCATTCACATGCCTGCTGCCTGGGTGGAATGGTTGGCACATCTGGGCCTGGATCTCCGTGCAGCTTCTGTCCAGGGCCACCTACAGGGCTTAGTTGAACTTACACAAGACAGCTGACTTCTCCTGAGCAAGCCTGCTAAAGAACCAACAGAGAATTTCTTTGGCTTCTTCTGACTTAGCCTCAGAAGTCATGGGTTTCACTTCTAATGCATTTTCTTGGTTACATAGGGTCAGCCCAGATGCAGTAGGGGAGAGGATTCCCAAGGGCCTGGATACTGGAAGGCATGGCTTGTCGGGGAGCCATCTTTGGAGACTGTCCAGCCAGATCTTGGTCTGGTGATTGGAACACTGCCCTGTGGAGTGCTCTTGCCATGTTTGGGTATGTGGAATGTGTCTCCCAAAGATTCATGTGTTGGAGGCTTTGTCCCCGGGAGGCAGTCCTGGGAGATGGGGTGGAACCTTTGAGAGGTAAGGCCTAATGAGAGCTCTTAAGGTTAATTGGGGGCGTGTTCGCAGACAGGGGTGGTTATCAAAAGAGGGTTGTTATCGAGCCTGAGCCTGGCTCCACCCAGCCTCTCTTGCTTCCTGTTTTGAGTTGTGGATTTTTCTCTTGCTCACATTCCTGCAGTTGAGATGCAATATTCCATGAAGCCCTCACCAGAGCCAAGTTGATACTGGTGTGATGCCTTCGAACTTCCAGGATTGTGAGTTAAATAGACCCCTTTTCTTTATAAAGTTAGTCTGCCTCAGATATTTTGTTATAGCAACAAAAAAAGGACTAATATGCCTCTCAAAGTTCAGGACTTGGGAAGGAGACAGCATAAAGGGCACTGAGCAGCTAGGACTCCTGGGCCCCAACTTTAAACAACATTCACTTAATATTTTGGAGTTTTACAAATAACTTAATGTGAAATTAAAAGTTCTGAAGTTCACTTTGCTAGAGTGATTTAGAGAGTAAATAAACTTAAAGAAATATTCTTAACATTAATCATTTGGGGAATGCAAAATAAAGTTTCAATGAGATATTACTACACACATCCTAATAAGAATGATTAAAGTGATAATTTTTAAAACTATCAAGCACTGGTGAGAATGGGAACAACTAGAATTCACACACATTAATGGTAGAAATGCAATACTGAACAGCCACCTTGGAAAACAGTTTCTTATGAAGTTATACATACACCGCACATAGGATTCAACCATTCCAACTCTCAGGTATTGACTCCGGAGAAATGCAATGATATGTACACACAGAGACCTGTAAATGTCCCTAGCAGCTTTCCTAATAGTCCCAAACCAGAGAAACCAGTCAACCAAAGAAAGAAATCCAAATGCCCATTGGATAAAGTAATTCTGGTGCATCCAGACAGTGATAGACTTCTTAGCAATAAGATCCGAATAGGTAGCGTTTGCATGGATGAATCTCAAAAGCATTATTCTGAGTAAAAGAAACCAGTCAACAAAGCTCTAGGCTTTATGACGATCCATTATGATGATCTCTTCAAGAGGCAAAACTGGTCATGGAAAGCAGATCCATGGTTGCAACTGTACCCCTGTCCTACAGCCAGCCTCGGGCCTTGGCTGGCTCTGCTCCCTCTTTGTGGACTCTTTCCTGCTCATCATTTGGATAACTCTCTTTATCCTTCAGTCTTCAGCCCTCACTTTTCCAAAGAGGCCTCTGCCCCTCCGATCTAAATTAGGTAGCTCTTTTCACTTGCAGGTGACACACTTGCTTTTTCTTCTCTAATAGAGAGCAAGATCTCCACACATCTTTGGCACACAATTAGCACTTAGCTTGTTTCATGAATTAATAAATGTGGGAAAGATGTACAGTCTTCCTTTGTATAGTTATGTATTGCATGAATTTGTTTATTCACAAACATGCGCTACTTTTTTACATTTTCATGTATTATTAAACTACTTGTTGGAGAATTGAAATAATTTAAAAAATATGTAAAGTCAAAAGTGAACATTTTTCATACCCACAGATTTTTGAAAAGTAAGGTTCTACCTTTGCCTATTAGTGTCCAGAAATCTCACTTATTCTTTATAATAGATATTTACATATCCCACAGTATGTTTATACCATTTTAAACATTAATTAGTCACTGCTGAGAATTTTGGGATACCCCACCACTAAAGTTTCAATGTTTTCTTATTTAGAATGCTGCAGTATATATTAGCACATATTGTGCAAGTATTATAAAAGGAGAGATTCCTAGAAAATTGAACTGTTAGAAAATAGGGAATTTGTATTTTAGATGTAGAGTGTATCTATCTACACTATTCCAAAAATAGGTGTGCAAACACCTATTGCCACTTCTGTTTAGGAGACAGCCCATCTCATATGTCCATACCCTAACCAACTTGGGATAGCACCAATCCTTGCCAAGTTTCCTCACTCAGGTTAAAATACAATCTCATCATTTTAACTTCCATCCCCAGCATTTTTACTGAGGTTGTGTGTATTATCATAAGATTTTTAGTTATTTGTATGTCTTGAACTGTGAATTCCTGCTTATATCCTTTGCCCATTTTTATGTTTTTTGCCTTATTGATTTGTAGGAACTCCTTATGTATGTATGATATGGAAATAGTTTGCAGGTTATAAATAACTTTTAGGGGGTGATGGATATGTTCATTCTTGATTGTGGTGATGGGTGCACAGGTGTATACTTATGTCAAAACTCATCAAATTTTACACTTTAAATGTGTGCAGTATATTGTATGTCAATCATACCTTAATAAAGCTGTTTAAAAAAGAAAGTTATATAATTTATAATATAAATAGTTCTCTCAGTTGTCCTTTCTCTTTAAACTTTATTTATTTATTTATTTATTGGGTCATGTAGAAGTTACATATTTACGGGCCCGTTGTTTAGATTCTGTTCTGGAGTTAGCTTTGTTCCTGAGAAAAATCACCTAACCTCCCTATGCCCCAGTTTTCCTATGTAGAATGAGGATAAGAGTACTTACTGCATAGGGTTAAATGAATGAATACACATTAAAAGCTCCTAGAGTGGTAACCACATAGCACACCATGCAGTAAGAATTAACTGTTACCGTTGTTTGTGATCTCATATCTTACTTAGAAAAGTTTCCCATCCCAGTATTATAAGAATATCCTTTTTTCTTTTCTTTTAGTAATTATACGGTTTTTAATGGTGTGTGCTTTTAGTCCATTTGAGAATTAATCTTGTAGCATGGAACTGTAGACAGAAAAAGGAAAAAAAGAATAAAATTAATCTTGTAGATGGTATAAAGCATGGGTACAATTTTATCATTTCCCTTCTGGAGATGCAGTTGTTCCAACACTATTTATGGCATAATCCATCCTTTCTGCCCTATTTAGAAATATCAACTTATTTAAACAGTGAATTCCCAGGTATAAATGGTGTGTTTCTCAACTCTGTTGGATCCTTCGCTCTATATGTTTGTTTCTCTGCTAATACTTTTTACCGGTAAATGATAATACCTTCTCTCCAACCCTAAGCCAGTCATAATTCTTGGTGATTTCAGTATTCAAATAGAACATCTTCCTGATTCCTTGACACTGTGATTTGAAAGTTGGTGTCCTCTTCAAAATTCGTAGGTTGAAACCTTTAATCCCCAGTGTGATCGTGTTGGTAGGTAACCTTTTTAAGAGGCATTTATTGATTAATGCCATTATAAAAAAGGCTTGTAGAAGTGGGTTTATTTTCTTTTGCCCTCTTATCTTCTGCCATGTGATGACAAAGCAAGAAGGCCCTTACCAGATTCCAGCCCCTTGATCTTGGACTTCATAGGCTCCAAAGCAGTAACCAATAAATTTCTATTCTTCATAAATTACCCAGGCTCAGTTATTGTGTTATAGAAGCACAATATTGGCTAATAGATTTGCTCTCTTGGTCCTTGACTTCCTCTTCTGCTATAATTTAGGTCTCCACCCACCTTATTCACTCAGAGCTGTCACCACGCCATAGACTTGATCACCATCAACTGCTCTGACATCTCTACAATCTCAATTTAAGCAATTCACCTCTTAGATCACCACATCCAATCTTTTTAGCTCCTTCCTCTTTTTCTCTACTCTGACAATTCTTCAACCCACCAGGACCTATGATTAAATGACACTGCGCTTATTTTTCACCCTATCCAGTTTAAATTCTATGGTTCGTCATCAAACTTCCTTGTCCCCTGTTCCCCTCACCTACTTCATCTACTTATTTGGGTAACTCTCAACCTTGTCAATTCCAGTTGTCCATAGATCCCCGTTTCTTCTCTGCAACTGAATGAGTCTGGAGGAAAACACACGATGGGCTGAGCAGTCTCATCTTAAATCCATGTCCACTAAGCTCAAGAGGCCCCGTGGCATTCCAGGTAAGGGGAATGTCCCTAATTCATTTCCTGCTCTCCCATTAAGCACCTCCTCAGCCTTCCTCAAGAAGCGTAGACCACTTCATACAAGAGAGTATTCAAATGGCCATTAAATGTATGAAAAGGTGTTCAATGTCAATAGTCATCAAGGAATGAAACTAAAACCACAGTGGGGCACCATGACATACCCATCAGAAGAATTAAAATTAAAAAGGTCTATGGCAGTATCAAGGAGGTGTGGAACAACAGGATGGCTCTGCAGGTGGGTGTGTAAATTGGGACAGCAATTTGGAAAACTGTTTGTCAAAATCTACTAAATTCAAACATTCACCTACCCTGTAATCTGGCAATTCCATGACTAGGTCTATACCAAACAGAAATGTATGCATTTGTATACAAAAAGACACGTTTAAGCGTATTCATGGCAACATTGAATATAAGAGCATAAATAATAAAAAATCCAAATGTCAATCCATTAAAATAGAATGGATATGTAAATTGTGGAATAGTCATATCAAGGCACACTCGATGGCAATGAATGGACTGTTGGTATTGTCATCTCACAAACAATGTTGAGAATGAGAAGTCATGTCGTATAATTCCACTGTATAAGTTTTAAAAATAGATAAAACTAACATATGGTTTGAATGTTGGCTACCTTTGGCCGGGGAAGGAGTGAATAATGATTAGGAGTGGGCATGAGGGGCCCTGGGGTTCTGGCAATGTTCTTTCCCAATCTAGGTATTGGTAACATTGATATGTGAACTTGTAAAAATTTACTGACTTGCACACTTACAATTTGTGCATCTCTTTGATAGTATGTTACACCTTACCAAAAAGCTATTATACATGTGTGCATGCATATGTGTGTATTTATGTATAGATGCATTTTTATAATCCTTTCTTGACCCTACTGTCATTTCCAGCTATTATATCATTTTGCTCCTTCATTTTATAACCAAATTCCAAAATATTGTTTATATTCAGTCTTCTGGATTTTAAACCCTAAACATTCTCCTGAGATTGCCCTTGTCAGGGTCACCGATGACCAACATATTACAAAAACCAGTGGCCAATCTGAGATTTTATTGTTCTTGGTCTGTCAGCAGAACTTGACACATGACCTCTGTGGATACCTACCAGGCTCCTCTGCCAGCTCTCCTCATCCTCCTGACCTCTCAACATCTGTTTACTCCAGGGTTCCACTTGTAGATGTCTTCCCTCCCTGTGTTCAGCCCATTGGTATCCACCAATGTTCAGAGGATTTCTACCCATACCCTGATAACTCCAAAATTTATATCTGCATCTTGAACCTCCTCCCCAAGAGGTGTCATATGCCCAACTGCCAACTTGATATCTTCCCTCAGATGTATAATAGGCATCTCAAATGCATATGTCCCCAAACCCGTTCCTGGTCTCCTCCCATCCCCTAGAAGGTGCACCTCCTCACTACATGGTGACTGTGTTCCTCAGGAACTCAGGTCAAATGCCCTGTGGTAATCTTGGGGTCTTCTCTTTCTTACTCCTCACATTCAATCAATCAGCAAATCATTTGTCTCCATCACTTCTCATCATCTTCAAAGCTATTACCTTGGAGCATGCCACCTTCATTTTTAACCTGGATGATCATGTTATCCCTTAACAAAGTCTCTCTGTTTCTGCCCTTACTTCTTCATTTCAGTCAGAATCCACCCCAGGGAAACAGACACCATTTGGTGAAGGAATGTAAGACTGTGTGATCCTGATCTTTACACAGGGGATGGAAGAAGGAGCAGCCAAACGGGATGGAGGGGCAGCCTCATGGCCTCCCACTGTAGAAAGCTGCCACCACTGTTGGGCTGTAGACGTGACAGGAAAAGATGGCATCACCCACATTTCCAGTCAGGGTTCCTCTGAAGGAAGCTGGGACCAATGCCATCTGCCTGGCCATTGGCAGGAGGTGGAGGCAGAAAGCAGAGGCCAGTGATGCCTCCCACGAGGCCGAGGGGAGGAGCAGCTGGCTACTCCTTTCAACTGACCTGCTAGTCTCCCACCGGGTCTCACTAGCCAGGTCCTGGGAGAAGACTGCTGCAATACGGTCCCTGGAACAGGCTGCAGGGTCACTTCTCTATTGGAGAGAATAGAACAGGGCAAGAGTCAGCAAGGGATCTGAAAAAAGGTGCCCAGGGCTAGCACAGGACCCCTGCCCATTCTCTACTCTTTCCCAGGACAGTTATGTCTTGTGGGGTCCAGAGCATATGCAATTTTGAAGATCCTCATTAAGAAAAAATAAAAAGACAAAAAACTCTAAGTATAAAAGCACATATTTATATAGGATGAAAAAAATAGGAAGTGACAAAAATTGAAAAGCAGATAAAACCACAAACATCTGACATAATCCAGGAAAAAATTATTTTTTTTTATTCTTGGTCTGGTCTATTGCCTTTATTAGTTTTCCCCCTATGTATTTGGGGCTTCATTTTCTTTGATCATTTGTTCATATGTTCGGATTTTACTGTTTTTTAAGTAGAAGGAATGTAAAATCTTCCCAACTATGGTTGATTAAAGCTTTTTTATTATCAATTGTTTAGAAAAGTTTCTACCACATTTACAACTTATTGGTTAATTTATTGGTAAAGGTGGGTAAAATTTTTAGAGTTGTTGAATTCAGGAAAGCTTTATCAAGTTTCTTTTATACATGAGCTGTGAGATGTCTGGGCTTTTCAAGTTTTCTTGTGTGGTGACTAATTTTAAAAATTTCTGTGAGCTGACAACACTCAATTAAATCTCTCACATCAAGATCTCGGGTTTGGCAGCGGAGTGGGCGGGAGGAGGATTCCTGGAAGCCATTCTTGCTCCAGGACAGCTGGCAATAACTTCCAATAATGTGGATAGCACTGTAAACTGCTCAAATATATCCCACTAAACTCAAACTAAAGGTATCCCCAACTCAGTTCTTCTTAATAGGATCCTCAAAGTGCTTGGCATCACTCCAGCACTGAGAGAAGACACAGAAAAATCAAGAAAGAGACCAAGGGGTCTTTACTAATTATGGTTAAAATGCCTTACTTTGGCAAATTTTACAAAAAATTCAACTTATGTGAATGTGTGGCTGGGGTCTTCCAAGGAGCCTGTGCCAGGGTAGAATTTAAGGTTAGAGCTTTGGGAATTTTATGATAAATTTGTCCCTAGTCACCTATAGCAGACAGAAAGTTCCTTTTAAAAGAAAAGGTGAGGTAGGTACCTCTCTGCTCTAGGCTCTTAAAAGGCTTTATTTATATCTCCTTCAAAGGAAAAGCAAAGGCCTGACAATCAAGGGCCTCTGGGTTGGCTTCACCCCATCACTCCTCCAGGACCCCTCCCCTGGGACCTGCTGCTCAGTACCTCCCAATCTTTTGTATTCCTCTAGAATTCCCACCAAGGGTCTTTGCTCTTACTTTCCCCTCTGTCTGATGCTCTATTCTCCCTGATAACTGATTGTTTTGCACCTTTTCTTCCCTCAAGTCTTTCTTCAAATATTACCCTCTGTGTTCATTTCCTATTATGACTGTAACCAATTACGTGGCTTAAAACAACACAAATTTATTATCTTGTCAATCTGGAGATCAGAAGTCTGACACGGGTTGGCACCGCTGCTTTCCTTCTGGAGGCTTTAGGGGAACATCTAGTTCCTTGCCTTTTCCAGTTTCCAGAGGCTGTCCACGTTCTGTGGCTTGTGGTCACATCACTTCTTTGACTCTACTCCTTCTTTTCCCTTATGAGGACCCTTGTGATTGCATTGGGACCACCTGGTTGTTCCAAGATCCTCCCATCTAGATTCTTAATTCAATCTCACCAGCAATCTCTTTTGCCATCTGAGGAAAATACTCATAGGTCTTGGGACAAGAACATGGACATCTAGGGGGAGAGGCATTATTCATCCTACTGCAACTTTGCTATAAAACCCTCTCTGACCATCCCTTTAAAATGTTGGTCATAGTGTCCATTTTATCTTGTCCCTGGATAAAAAGGAATATTTCTGAGAGGCCACAGATATGCACAATGCACATATGCACAATGTTTGCTGCAGTTAGAGACTTGTATCAGCCACAGTTCTATAAGAACTACCAGGAGATAGATAGTAAGAGATCAATTGCAAGGAATTGGTATGTGACTCTGGGTGCTGGCTAGGCATGTTGAGAACCTGTAGGGCAGTTTGCTAGGGAGGGCTAGAGCGGAAGCTGTAGTCCAGGGGTGGGATTTCTTCTTCTGGACAGCCTCTTTTTCTGCTTATAAAGCCTTTGAACTGATTGAATCAGGCCCACCTACAATATTGAAAATAAGCTCCCTTAATCAAAGTCACCTGATTATGAACTTTTTTTTGGGCGGGGACCCTGGGGATTGAACTCAGGGACACTCAACCACTGAGCCACATCCCCAACCCTGTTTTGTGTTTTATTTAGAGACAGGGTCTCACTGAGTTGCTTAGTGCCTTGCTGTTGCTGAGGCTGGCTTTGAACTCCTGTCTCAGCCTCCTGAGTCCCTGGGATTACAGGGATGGGCTACAATGCCCGGCCTGATTAGGGAAATAATCACAGCTACCAAAACCCCACCCCCAGCAATATATACATTATTAGTATTTGACTGAATAACTGAGATTGTTGTTTAGCCAAGTTAGACCTGTGAAATTGACAATTCCAGGACCCTTTCCTGGTAAAGACAGAATTTTATAAAATTTTTATCACCTCTAAAATTGACAACTTTGTTTTCTCTCTTTAATGCATCTCTATAGTGAATTAAAAAGTAAAGTTGAGTTTTTGACATTAAAAATCAATGCTTGAGGAGCTGGGGTTGTGGCTCAGTGGTAGAGCGCTTGCCTGGCATGTGTGAGGCACTGGGTTCAATTCTCAGCACTGCAAATAAATAAATGAACAAAATAAAGGCCCATTTTAAAAAATAAAGGAATCTCTTTTAAAAAACAATCAATGCTTGACTCTTAGGATAAAACCCATTTGGTCATGATTTATCAGTTTTATACTGTATAG